GGGCTGTGCAGAGCAGGGAGAGGTTTGTGGAGCATGCAGGCTCTGACCTGCCACACTGGCACCTAGCTCTCATCAGCTTTATGAGGGCCTGACTTTGCTGAAGCTGCAACCCCTGATGACCCCTCCCCTGCCTGCAGAACTGCTCAGCACTCTCACACCTTACTGGTTTTTGTGGCATCACTGCACATATTGCAAAAGGGGGCAGCACTATACTATTCTACCCACTCAGGCCTGCCACTGCCCTGGTTCCTGCCTCCACCCCGGGACCGTTTACATTTGAGTGCTGTCCATCTCGAAAAGTATTTCAAAGGAGTTTTCTTTCAGTCTGTGGTTACTATTAAATTAATCCAGCTAGCCTGGGATATAAGGACAAAGTTTTATGCTGAGGTTTCCTGAGGTCCTAGCCTCACGTCTCTGGGGTCCACTCCCTCTGCCTCCTGTCTGGTAGACGATGTGTGCAAACTCTCCATCTCTGAAAACGGTTCTTCTTTCTGCTTTCTCCATGGTTCTTGTCACGTAACAACATATGGTGTGATGTTGGGAGTGGGCAGGAGCTGGATTTTCCATTGAACAAGACATTCCCAGATTTATAGTTTTTTCCTGTTCTAAAATAAACCATCCCCAATAAATCTGGTATTTTCCCATTTAATGAGGTCCTGGGAGCAAAACATCCAAGCCCTTCTCAATTAAAAAAAAATCTAATATAAAATAAAAAATATTGAAATCAAAAGGCATTTCAAAATGGGAAACTGAAATGTTCCATTCTGAAAAGGTCAAAATATAACATTTCAACCTTCTCAGAATGCTCCTGTCCATTTTTTCCTCATATAAAACTCCATCACAATTGACATACTGAAGCAAAACATTTTTCTTCTGACAAACTGGCATTGCCAAAAGAAAAATGTTCATCAGGAAATCCCTGCCCATCACTGCAGGGATTGCACGGTGCTGTGCAGAAATCAGGGCAACCAGGCAATACCTACAGTCTCCCAGTGGAGCCCACATGAGAAGCAGAGCTACGGTTGTATGAGCAGCATGCAATGGGGACATTTTCTGACATAAAGGTTCTTAAGTCTGTCCCTTTACATTTTTCTAGGGTTAAAAGAGATCCTCTGTAAGCCAGAAGGATTTATCTAGACTCCTGGAATATTTTGTTCCCCACTGGGGGCGAGATGCTCACCTCTGCATTAAGGGGCCACGGAAGTCCAATATCTGTTGGAGGAAAGACTCCTCCGGTGCAGGTACTATAAAACACTCGATAAGGCTGTCCTCAAAGGAACCCCTTGCAAGGCCGGCCGTGCTGGAAGCAGGGCTGAGGAAGGGAAAGGTGGGCTGTAGAAGGATTCTGGGCAGTGCAAGGATGACAGGGCTGTCTGGGCAGGTCACTGTAAGGTACACAGGCTCCCAGGACTGTCTTTATTTTGGAAAGCTGGCTCCCTTTCCAGCCCCCAGAGCAGCCAAGGATCTGGAGAGTGCAAAGATGACTTAAGTCACCTTGGCCCCTTGGTTCCAGAGCTGCAGGTTCTGGTAAGGACACAGCACAGACCCTCACCCAGGATGGCAGCGAATGGAGCAAGGGCTTGCTTGCAACTCGTCTCAGGCTGAAGAATGCAGCAGGACCATGATGCTTTCAGCTGTACACGTCAATGCCCACGGCATCAGACAGCACAGGTCTAATCTCTCAAGTGGCTGCATGCTCTGATCCTGGCGTCATCACAGTCAATGGGCTGCTTACCTATGAAAGTGCTTTTCTGCATCAGGGCCAGCATGACAGTGCAGCATGGGCTCAGACTGGGGTGGGATGGGCTGACTAGCTCCTGCTTCTCAGTGGCACTAAGCATCCTCCTCCCCCGCCAGTGCAAAGAATCCTTAAGGAAGGTGAAATTAGACTTGTGGTAAGGGCTCTTTACGCTGTCCATGGGGTGTAAGTGAGCTGCTCTGTAACTGGGAATCAGGCCCAGCCTGTTATCTTCAAATGAAGAGCTGTGTCTTTGGGATCCCTCATCATCCTTCTCTTTAGTGCAGCTTCTCTCCAAGCCAAATTTTAGCTCTTGAGCCCCAGGCATTTGGGTTTGCTGAAGCAGCTCCGAGAAAGCCTTCTCTACATTCCCCTGTTCCTGCAGTGGGGGGTTGTGAACGCACTCTACTACCTCCTCGCTCCAAAAAGGGCACCACCTCTTTTGCTCAAGCTGCCGGGGAGGGGAAAAGAAGATCACCATCTGGCAGAGATCAGACCTGGAAAATTTCAGCTTAGAGATAAAAGGCTGATGACTGAAACCATGTTATTAAAATGCGTATGTACCTGCTACCTGAGCTATTGTTGGAAGTAGAGCCTCATACGTTCATCCCCCACTGGGTGAAAGTTGCCCCCTAAGGAAGTCCTACTCCTCAGGTTAGGACTCATGCTGATTGTCTGCACTCACCCCATCTCGATACAGAATCCTGCGCTGAGCCCCATGCACCATGCAACCAGCCCTGTACTGTCAGGCTTGACTCCATGCTGTCATGCTTCATCCTGTGTCTCCACTTCTGCTAGTGCAAAGCAGCTGTGTGGAGCACTACCTTCCTGTTTGGGCAGCATTTCATGCCTGCTTTGTGCATGAGCTGCCAGGACATGGGCCATGTGAGCATGTGGACAGAAGGTGAGATACAGACAGATGGCAGTGACAACACAGACTCTGCTACACCTGAGAGGACAGTGGTGACTGTGGTGACCCAGCTGTGATTGCAGGAGCCTGGTCACTTGCCCCTAGCAGGCAGGGGCCCACAGTTAATTCCACATGGGAACAGGCACAGCTGAGTTTGGCTACACCCTCTTCTCCTGCTCAGGCCATGAGGGCAGCAGGGATTAGATTAGTTATGCTGCCTTCCCCAGCTGCATAATAGTAGAGATGCCCCCTCCAAAGGGGCAGTTATCGCAGGGTGATCTGTGGGTGATTCATGATCGATGCAGAATGAATTTAGCTGATCAGAAAATCCATCCCTCAAGCTGCAAGGCAGTGCAGATTTAGGCTTTGCGTGTGATGCCTGAGAGATGCATAGACCCTGGATCCAGGTCTCCTTTTAGGGGTAAATTCAGCCCAGTACAGGCTGGTTAATATGTCACGGTATTATTATATCCCTCCATCATCCATCCAGCACTGGTAAATTGATATCCTCATTAGAGCCTATTAAGAACAACACTCTTTTAATAGCTGGATGGGATATTATTATTATTACTTTCACAGCATGGTGTATTTAATGGCTCAGAGTAGAAATTGGTCTTCTTTATTGGGTCTTTCTCCTTTGAAACAGACTCCACCAGTGATTCAGCGATTCAGCTCACGTTGTCTTCCTGGTACTGTACAGTGCAGTATAATGATGTCTCTTGCTTTGTGTTGTTCTGTGTGTGTGTGTGTGTGTGTGTGTGTGTGTGTGTATGTCCGTAGCTGTTGTAACTGTTTGCCGGCTGTGAAATAACCCGTGCCATTATCTCATTTTATCTTGCTGGTTCTGTCAGGACACGCTACGAAGAGACCTGAGAGCCTGTTAATCCTCTGGCAGAAAAGCTGGAAGTCTTAAATGCAGAATTTTATGCTGTGCTCAAGTTTGCTCAGCCAGTCTTAATTGGACTCAGGAAAGCAGCTGGCAATTGCAAATTGTTGGTAAATACAGCTGCTGGAATTGTGTGTGCAGATGAAGTGGGGCTGGAGAAGGGTCAGGAGAGGCCCTATGGCAACACATATTGAAAAGGAACAAGTGTGGGATTCAAGATGTATCTCAATTTCCAGGGAAGGAAAGTTTTGCTCAGTGGCTCTCTGGGAAAGTTTGGGCAGCCTCGTTCTCTTAAGGCACCTGGAAACCTTGAGCTCTAAACAGATTATGTTAGACTGGACTGTCACTGGGAGTCTGAATGCAAGAACTAATATGTCTACAGAAGTTCTGTATTGTGGGTTAGATCATGTGCTGGCAGGGAATATCACACCTCCCTTTAAAACATTTTCCTGAGCTCTGAAATTTTCTCCCAAACTAACAGGATCTCAACAGCAGGTGATGACAAATCTGATGCTGCTTTGAAGTCCCTTTAAACTCAGACACAGAGCTCTAGGTAGCTGATTCAAATCCTGACCATGCTGTGCTACAGAAGAATGAACTGGTTTGTAAGGGGGTGGCCTCAGACAAGCCCCTGCTTGGTAGACACCATCCTAACAGGCCGGCTTGGTACCACCACTGGTGGCCAACGATAGCCAAATGCTGCCATAAGAGGACTGGTTAAGCACAGGCATGCAGGACTGGGCTAGAAAACCAAGTCCTGCCCCTGCAATCACATGCAAGTATGGAACAGATGTTGAATCTGAGAGGGTACAACAGAAGGCTTGGTTTGGCTCCTCCTGTATGCCACGACACAAAGCACCCTCACAGTCTGTATCAAACTAGGATGTTTGTTACAAAAAACAGAAAGCCTCAAAACTGCAGTGTCCTGCAGCAGAGACCAGTGGCCCCATCAATGCCTTGAGCCTGTGAAGTGGTAGGGAATTTGTTAGGTGAAATACACCCAGAACAGCCTAGGAAATGGACCATGTTCCACATTAAATAGGCAGGAAAAACATCTCCAATGGTCCCTGCCTATTTGCCGGGGGGCAAAATTCCTTCCTGGCTCCAAAGCTGGTGGTTTGAATAAGTCCAGGAACATTCCCAACCTTGGTTAAGTCAAGTCACACTGGCCACATCTACAGGAGATGCTGACTGCAAAGTAGCCCGAGACTACTGCACAGTAGTGTCATGTGGCAGCAACCATGACGAGACGTTACTGCACAGCCAGTGTCACAGAAACGCTATTCATCGGTGCTACTGAGCAGTAACTCAGATTACTGCATGGTCATTTAGTACTTATTTGTACAAGTACCAAAAGACAGCACAGGAACGACTGTGCAGTCAGCATCTTGTGTGGATGCGGCCACTGAGTGGATATTCGCATGCCACTGCAATGTTAATAGTAGGCAGAGATGACATCTACTCACGCTGTATGTCGATGGTGACAGAGGTCTCTTTTCCGGTAGGAATGGCCTTGTTAGTGGCCCGACAGACAATGCTTTCTCCATTCTCAATGTCAGATGGAGCAATAAAGAGTGTGCTCACAATGCTTTCTCTTTTGCCATCGCGGAGGAGGGTCTGTGGGGGGAGAAGTAGGGATGGAAGAAAGTAAGATTCAATTAATAGTCCTTGGAAGAGGCATTCTCTTCCATATTATTTACTAATCATGCTTACTACAGTTGTGCCTAGGGATCCACCAAAATAGTGGTTTTGTACTAGACTGTACGAACACAGAGGCAATCAGTCCAAGCCCTGACGAGCTTGCAAACTCAATAACAGCCTATAGAACTGCACTTCTCATGGTTCACAAAGTAGCCGTGTGGGAGTTAGATGCAAATTCAGTGAATTTCAAAGGGATTTGGGTACTTGACTCTCATCTGCTTCTCTAAAACTCTGCTGTGCTGCACACCTGAGGATCACAATTCTGTGGAGATTGATTTCACTTGCCAACCCAAGAAGGGGGTGCTGGTGTTTTCCTGTGAGCAGGCCATGAGAGGGCTAGCAGGGAATCAAGCACTGCCTTTTACACCTGTGCAAAGTGAGTGTGAAAAGCTGCCATGCTGATATAGTTGCATTCCTCATCTGCTCTGCATAGAAGCCAGCAATAACACAAGGATAAGACACATCTCATTGCTATGAGGAGTAACAAGATTCCCCCCAAAATCTGCAGCACCTGGGAGACTGGGAAGAAGCATAAAGTCACCCATTCTTGCCATGCATTTCCCTGTTTGCTCAGAGTGAAGGTGAGGAGGAATATTTGTGGTTTGCTGCTTCTAGCAGAGAACTGAGCAGAGAAGCCAAATCCACCGCGGGCATGAAATCTCTCATCAGAATCAGGCCTGAAGTCTCCTGGCTTCTGCTTCTGGGTTTCCCAATGACTCACTTTGTAACCTTTGGAGAATTAGCCCTTTGTGAACCCACCTCTTGAACTCTCCATGGGGGACTGAGCTGCCCTGCAGCAACTACCTCACCAGACATAATGAGAATTAATATCTGTGTTAATTAATTATTATTATTGAGTTTGCTTTCATTCTGCACATTTACTTTAGGTCAATCAGACAGGGAGTGCATGCTAATGAGAGGGAATATTAAAGATATCACTGAGGAGCAGTATAAAGAGTTCTGCAAGGGCTAATGTGAAAGGATGGGGTTGAGGCCACCAGCTTCCATGGCATGACAGCACCATGTCCCAGAGCAACCATATGCCTAGGACTTGCCTTGCCAAAGGTTGTCAAATGCTAGCTGTGCAGATGTTTGCACCAGTGTATGATGGGTGTTAATTGTAACCACTCAGATTTATTAGTGTTTCACACCCACTGTGCACTGGTGCAAATGCTGACATGATCTGCAGGTCAGTGAAGAACCAAAGTGTTGAGTTTAGCTTTTTGTCCTATAACACCAAGTGGAGGGCAGCAGCTATAGTGTTATTTGTCCTCACAGTTGAATAGATCATGACGCCAGAAGAGAGTACTGTGATCATCCACTCTGACCTCTGGCATAATGCAGGCCATTATGAAGTCATTCATAAGAAGTAATTCTTATTTGAACTGGAGCCAGGAAAACATCCACTCTTGATTTTATCATTGCTAGCAGTGGAGAATCTACCCCAACCCTTGGCCAGTTACTCTAATAGTTAAATGCCCTAAAATTTGTCCCTAATTTCTTGCCTGAATTTGCCTAGTTTCACCCAGCGATTGGATTTTGGTCTCCTAGACTGAAGATCCAAGTTGGGGCTTACAGACCATGATCAAATCATATCTCAATCTTTTTGTTGATAATGGAACATCCTTTGTGAATGGTAGACACCAGAAGTGGACAGAGTATTTCAGGTCATTGACAAAACATGAGTGCAGGATCAAAAACTGGTCCATCACTAGAATCACACATATGTGATCATGATACCCTATTTACAGTGTCATTTAATGCATTTAATGTCTGGCAGGTTAATTTTGTATCCTTCTGTTTTCCTTAATCAAAATATCATGTAGTCCCAAGTCAAATGCCTTAAAAAATTGTAAATATATTACACCAAGAGTATTATCTTATGAACTGAACTTGTAGTGTTAATGAAAAGATCAGTAGTGCAGCTTAATACTAATGAATAACCATCACCTAGGGCACCCCGAAGGACACCTGAGGCCACAAGAAGAGCAAATGAGCCTGGATAGGGATGTACTTTGTATGTAATTAGAGCTTGATGAGATATTAATATCCATGTTGGCGATTTAAGAGTTATGGAAAACAAATCAGTCCAAAACTTTCCAACAAATCATAATCTGACAACAGTTTCATTTTGGGTTGATCAAGACACTTTGTTTAGATTTCAGGTTTTTAACCACGTAAGAATGTTTAAAAATCAAATGAAAAGATATTTCAAAATGGAAAGGTGTTTCAAGCTGAAAAAACAAAACGCTTCATGTTGAAAATATTACAACTGGCCATGTCAAAATTTCCAGAATGCATTCTGGAATTGTTTTAAATAGAAAGGCAACAAACTCAGTTCCTATTCTCAAATGCTTTACTGCTGCTGCATGTGTACTTTTAATTGAAAAAAGTTTCGGGAAAAAATGTTTACTGCTTGGATGCTGATGATTCTCGCCTCAAAAAGCCCAATGCTGTCATTACACAAAGGAAGGAATTTATGAAAGGGACTTGTGTTTTTGAGTAAAAATGTTCTGCAAGGCAGGGCAGATTTATGCCCCTCCAGTAGCTCTGCAAACCCAGTAACAGCACAAGTCAGCCCTGTTCTGCTGGGCTTCTGACTCCAAGAACTGGGGCTTAGATAGAAGATGGAACACGGATTCTCATGAGAGCTGTGATTAAATTAAGATAATTGAAGACACTGCCCTGTTCCCACTGGCCCTGAGTAGTATGAAACCATCCCTTCTGAATGCACTGTGGATGGGACAAAGCCTCCTCCTCTGAGACCTTTCCACATCACCTACTTAAGATGCACAGGAAGTCGCAGCATCTCATTTGGGATGGATCTGCAGTCTGTATGCAGTGTGAGTGCTTGGCTTTGGAATTAATACAAACACAAACACAGATATTAAAAAAAAGAGATTGTTATTCCTCCTCTCCAACAGCTATTGGCTGGTTGGAAATGGAGAGGGATTAACCCTTGATTCCCCAGGGAAAGGACCAACCTAGCTCACAGAAGACAGAAGGGTTTGGAGAGATTGGAGTTAGCAACAAAAGATTACATGTGAATGGCCTAGATTTTAATTAATTTCACCCGAACTGGTATAGGGAGAGGTCAGTCTTTTTCAGTTTTAATTAGTGCTGTCTGCTGCACTGCATGCTGGGAGGTGAGGGCATGCAAGGGTAGTTTGACTTCATATTTCTCTCCTCCACATGGCTTGCTGCAATACAGAGAGCGTGTTCACGCTAACAGGGGAGGTGATATTGCAGGGGCTGGGAGAGCAGGGTGTGTAAAGGGAATGTGGGTGGTGGATTTGTTCTTGCCAAAACAGAGTTGCTGCTGGCAGGTAGGGCATTTAAACTCACCCACAGTGTTCAGCAGCACATTGGCTCCTTGCTAAGAACCTGCTGATAGCAGGAGACATGAAATGTCTTTGAGCATGGGTGCAATCAAAGCAGAAATTAACTGCAGAGCAGACAGTGACAAGGGAAAGGGCATGTGGCCTATGAAAATTGGATCTGGGACTCTGAGACAGCAGCCAGAAGGCCTGCAGGACAAGGCTGGTTACTTGGTGTGAGAAGCCAGGTGGACGGAAAAGAGTTCGGGGGCAGGGGGATTCCAGCACTAACTCCAGGGCTGAAATCAAGTTACGTTTTGTGTGTCATGCCCTGTAAGGGAGATCAGTGTGTTTCCAACCCCTTGCAATATCCGTTGGGGATAGAGCTGTCCAAGGTTGCCCTCACCTTGCCATTCTCTGCTTAAATGGGTACGTCTCTCCCCTACTCCTCTGCGGCTGGTCCTGCTTCTAACCTTCCCACTTAGGTTTATGGACTGCATTCCCCTGTGGCACCAAAGCCCTGCTTTCATCAGCTGTTGTGGATCCCTCTCCACATTTCATCTTTATCCCACTAGCTTCTGGACCTCCTCAGACTTCTTCTCTCCCACAGACTCCAGGCAGCATGTTCCCCCTGGTCCATCCTCTGCTGCCTTCCTTCTTGTCTTGGACTCTCCACTTACATCAGGCAAGGGCATCCACCACCTTCCCTGCAGTCTGTGCCCTAGTAGTCACCCCGGTCTTGGGCCATGGCTCCCTAGCCTCACTGGCTGAGAGACTTCACTAGGACCCTTCCTCTGGTCTCGTTTGGGTTGTCCTGGGCCCTTGTGAGCTGTGCTGGAGGACATCAGACACCCAAGGAAGTTTATCCTCCTTCCCTCTCTGGAGGGCATAGATATCTTTGGGGCTCTTTCTTACCCACTGTAGGACCCAGTGGGCATGTCTACATGAGAAGTTACTGTGCAGTGACTACTGTGCATTTATTTAGTACTTGTATAATCAAGAAATAAATACATTTGCAATAAACAGAGTTACGGCACAGTAGTGCTGGCACGCACCTTTTAAGTGACACTACTGCACAGCAGCCTATAATACTGCCCAACAGCATATTAGTATTGTTGGTGCTGTGATGAGCTACTGTGCAGTATTATTCAGCTACTGCACAGTTAGCATCTTGTGTAGCTGCACCTAGGGTCTCAGACAGGGCTGGGAGCTATCACGTTTGGTGAGATGGCAGCTAGTGCAGAGGTAGAAGGAAGGAACTGGCAATAGTGCTGAGGTGGGACAGAGCTACCTGCCTGGGGGGGATCTTGATTACCATGGCATGTTTTTCATTTGGATGAGTGCTCCAGATGTCTCCCATCATGCACAATAGTGACATCTTGGTTCCTGGGCACCAAGGTCCATTTTGGAATGCTCTCCTTGCTCTAGATCTCACCATCTGGAGATCTTCAGTGGCCCAATGTGACAGTACTGGAGGCCTAGCCCATGGCAGGAAACTGGACATAGCATGAAAGTAAGGGAGTGGGTAAGTGTGCAAGAACTATAATCACATGCTTGAATGCACAAGCCTGATATCTAGCCCAATCAGGACTAATGCCAGACCCAAAGTCTCTTCTGGCACAATTAGCAACATGTGCTTCAGGTCAGGACTGGGCTGAACTATCATAGAATCAAAGAATTGTAGAAAATTAGGGTTGGAAGGGACCTCAGGAGGTCATCTAGTCCAACCCCCTACTCAAAGCAGGACCATCTCCAACTAGATCATCCCAGCCAAAGCTTTGCCAAGCTGGGTTTTGAAAACCTCCAAGGATGGAGTTTCCACCACCTCTCTGGGTAACCTGCTCCAGTATGTTACTACCCTCCTACTGAGAAAATTCTTCCTAATATCTAACCTAAACTCCCCTTGCTGCAACTTGCTCCTTGTTCTGTCATCTGCCATTGATTTGCAATCACATCACTGGATAGTGTGTGTGTGCGTGTGCACATGCTTGCACATTTGTGAAAGAGAGAAAGACAGAGACAGAGAGAGAGAGAGAGAGAGAAATCACCTAA